AAGTCCCTTTTTCAATACTCGGACTGGTGCTGTCATTCTGCGAAGGCCTGCATCTGATAAACAGTTGTCTTTCAGGAGAAGCCTTTTTACGCTGGGAGGAGAGATACAAACGCATAGTTTATCATCATTATTTTAGACAGTTTTACAAAATGTTCTGAAACTCTGTGTCAGAAGGCTGGGGTCTTCCTCAGCCAACCCTTCAGTCTACTTTGTTAACATTAGTAAAAAGCAGCAAGAAAGAAGCCTGGCTTAGCAGGACTAACAAGTATCTTTATAGTGCCTCCACTAGCTCAACAGAAGCACTTATTTGACCAGCTATTCCCAGAGCTCCAGCGACAAACTCGTCCTAGAGCACAAGCGTTTGCTAACAGAGACAATAAGATTCTTTATACACGGAGGTTCTGTAAACCAAGGCTGCCAATTTCAAAACCACTCAAAACTAAAAAGATAAAAATGCTTGGCAAAATGGGAGATGACAGATTTGGTAAGAGATACAGCAATGATTTTAAGTAAGCAATGAGGTATTATAACATAGATGAACAAAACTCAGGGAAAAGCATAACACTAAAACATTCTCCAGAGCACTTCAAGGCAAAACCTTGATGCAAAATGCATCAAAATCTCACAGTAACATAATATCCTCTAATTAGCAGTCATCCTGCTTATTGATTTCCAAAATGTTCTACTTTTCAATCTTTAGTATCAAACAAAATTACGTATTTTTTTTTTTTAATGTTAATCAACTAAATACTCAACCTACTGCTTGCAGAAATCTCCATCTGGAACACTGGTAAGGTTAAAAAATTGGTCGATAAAGTTTCCTCTTAAAAAAGGAAAAAAGGGTGTAGAGCCGTTCCAAATGCTTAAGATGCAGTTTTTACCTGGCTAGTGGAAATTATAAAAAGTTGATTTAAAAACATAAGACAGTAAATTATCTTGCACATTTGTAGGACCTTCTAGGACTCAGTTATGTGCTTTGTGTACAATAAATTCTGTGTTTTGTTTACCTTGAGAACAGGTTTTATGAAGAACCAAAATCTTCAAACTTACACATTGCTGCCTGCGAAACTTTCCTTTAAAAGTCACAGCCTGATTCTTTGAACTGCTCAGTGATAGGAAAAGAAAGTATCATTTTTAGCAATGCATCAGGAAATCGGTACCTAGACAGAGCCTCTTTGGTGAGGTGTTCCAGCAGTTCATGTTCATCTCCAAGTTTACAACAGGAGAGATCTAAACACGTCAGCTCCCGGAAAGACTTAATTTCTTCTAGCTTTTCAGAGATAACAAGGTATCTGTAAAGAGAAGAAAACAAACGCTATCACTGTTCAGGCACATAAGAAGGCACCTACATCCCACAAGTGTCACAAGCATAATGCAGTCATTTCTTATAAGCATCTATGTGAAAATTGACAGAAATTAGCCAGCTGTCCTAACTACCTTTTTATGTGCAGTCTGCATACAACACATCTGAATTCCCAGTCTTCTCCATGAACAAATGTCATGGTTTTGCTTTAATTCAAAATATTGGACTAACACTTAAGACTTCAACTTGCAAACGTTGCAATTAGGGACTTCCATATAGATTATTATTGTCTTATTTCAGAATAAAGCAAAATATGCATTCCAGTTTACTGTAAATCAACTTCACAAACTGCTCTTCCTCGGTATCTAGGAAGTGTGTAGACAAACCCACGTTCATTCAGGTTTAAAATCTACTTCAAATGTATCAGAGTAGCTTGTAAAATGGCAAAATTTTACTTTTTATGTCCATAAATAAGATACTTCACTAGAGATTAAAAGTCCTACAGGACACCTGTAGACTCCAGCTAGAGCTGTGACTACACCCCAGGCAGTAGTTACTCAGCGGGTTATTTTTTTAGCTGTGTTGGTTCCCTGATCTGATTCACTCCGCAGCCATGCAAACATCTGTGCTGGAACTATTCAGTAGGAGGTTTAGAGATCGGAACAAACCACTAAAGAATGGCATGCATGAGTATGCAGTAATAAGCACGTAGCAGTCACTACCTCACTAATCTCCCTGCATTTTCCTCTTACTGTCCCTGTGGCAAGACAAGCCCCAAATTCACAAATCTCTCCTGAATTTACCTTATATTCCCCAAGGCACAACAAACACCAAGGTCAGCATCTTCACTGCTGAAATGAGGGGTGCTTACTAATTTGATCCCTCAAGGAACACCTCTTTGGCCATGCAAATAAGGGGACATTAATATCCTCCCACTGCAAGTATACCACCTATCAAACCATCCCACCTAATCCGTTTGTCACGCAATTCAGCTGTGCGGAAAGCAGTACGCATAGTCAGAGCACAGGCCAATTCTCGAGAGATACTACTAGCTCAGGGGGCTGGTGAAGAGTGGGTTCTTTTAGAAATAAGATTCATCAGAAAATGCTTTAATACCTTACTTCCTGGATTTCAAAGATTCGATACTTAACCCAGCTTTCTGTAATGGCAAAAGATGCCAGAAGTAACTTCATTTCTGAATTAAGCCCATAAAAAGTATCTGTACCAGAGATAAAAAGGGAGTAGGTTTAAAGGATAAAACAAAAGGGTAATTGACCTCTGCTCAAACATTCCTACTGTGCTCAAAACACCCTTGGCACTTCAGATGAATGTGCCTGTACTTTGATTTTAAACTGGATAAACGATCCCTTTTTCAAGTGTACAGATGGAAGATAGACTGGTTATATTACTGGGAAAGACTTCAGTAGAAGCAAGGCTTTGAAAACATAATCCAGTTTTAAGCTTGGTAAGACTCTCTTTTAGCGAAAGACAACGTGGACATTGAGATGATGGAAAAACTGGTGCTGGACTCCAATCAGAACCTTGTTCAAGCATGTTCAATATGGGGATGGAAACCACAAAAAATTAAGGCAAAACCTGCCAGACTTCAAAGCCTGTAGCTTACCTACAAGATTGTATCATCTTCTGAGCCCCCAAAATGAAATGGGATAGCAAGCTTATAGTAAATAAACCCAGACAGTTTGCAAGGGAGTATTTTCAGCATACTCAGCTGACTGTACACTAAATGCTTATAAACAGCAATTACGAAAACATCCCATGAAATACCTGAGAATGCACCAAACACAGATTGCTACTGAAGTGCTGATTATTGTTAAAAAATAGTTGCAGGCTTAATCCTTCACATCAAACCCCTGTTAGTTAACATGAATGTAATCTGTTACCTGTATTTTAGATTTATATTTTAGGATGAAACCAGCAGCTGCACTTGTAGGAAAGGAATGGGACAAAAGGAAGCAAACAGAAGAGTCAAATAAGGCTCAGGTTATTTCATTAAAACTAGGTGGTGTCATAAGACCAAGAGATTTTTTTTTTTTAATTATTTTTGACAGAAAATAATTTAAGGGAAACCTTAAGAGTGCTACCAAAAAGCACTAGCAGATAATGGTATTTGTTACTGAACACACTCACCTATTCCGCAAGCATAACGAACATAGCACCAAATTGCCATATGCTTCCGTAAACTTCTGTAGAGCCCTCAGTCCTGTTACCGGTTCTGTGAACTTCTGTCTTGCTTCTGCAGCTGAAAAGAGCTTTTCAGCAATCTGCTCTGGGAAACCAATCAATGAGTCAATGTGATCAACATTGTCAGAAATGTAACCCAGCACTAGGCTGAAGAGAGACTTGGCTGAGTACCGGAGGTTCCCCTCCTTAGTGTATGTGAAGATGAAATGATCAGTCCTCTGCCTCCTTGCCCTATCGTCCTCCCTGTTCATACAAAGCTCCACCGAAAATCCTCTGGAAAACAGCCTAAAAGGTCTTGTTTTGGGAGTGACATTCTGTATGCCACCTGCACCCTGATTTACCACATGCAGCTTCCCATTTTCACGCACATATATCGGCCCAGTATCCAAATGGCTTTCTGAGTGGAGACAGTAAGACATTCCCCTCGTCCAGTTCTGCAAAAACAAACCGTAGACAGGTCAAGAATAGCCACAAACACTACTCAGGAAAGACCCCAAACCCTGGCAGCTCTCCTCAGTGCCCCGAGCGCCACGTAACCCTGCAGCACAAGGGAGGCTGGGCTGCGTGGAAGAGGGGTGCACGCTGTCTGCCATCAAACACCAGTCAAGTGGGAACTGAACCCAGCTGCTGGCAGGGAGGTGAAGGGCCTTTGCTCTGGTGGGGCCCGGCCACTCTGTGACCGGGGCTGGCTCCCAGGCAGCGGCAAGGGGGTCTGGGGGTGTGCGGGAAGCGGCCCCCCGCTGCTTGGCCTGGCTCTGCTGCAGGCTGGGGGGCGGGAAGGAGGAGGAGGAGGGCAAATGGCTGACTGCAGCAGGGCAGTGGAGCCTGCTGGGGGATCTCCCTCCTTGCGAGGGTGGGCAGGCTGCTGCCGCCTCTTTCCCAGTCTAGCCCAGTTGGTGACAGGGGGGGCCTCTGGTTTGTGAGCTGGGGGGGTCCTGGTGGGGGCAGCCTGCCCTGGGGAGGGGGGGCAGGGGAGGGACGGGGTCCTGCCCACTCCTACCCTGAGGGGCTGAGGTCCTGGGGGGCGGGAGGAGCTCAGGCTCTGCCCGAGGTGGGGGGAAAGGGGGTGCTGGAGGGATGGGGCGCTGCCCGGGAGGAGCGGGGCCGAGGGGACCGAGTCCAGCCCCGAGGGGGCGGCAGGGGGATCGGGCCCTACACGGGTCGGGAGCGGTGGTGGTGGGGTGTCTGCGAAGGGATCGCGCCCTGCCCGAGGCTGAGCGCGCCGTGACCGGGCGCAAGGGGAAGGGTCCCCATCCCACCCGCGCCCCGCCCGGCAGCCGCGGGGCAGGGAGCCGAGCGCCCCGCGCCCCCGCCGGGGCCACCGGCCCGGCCCCCCACAACCTACCTGCCCCGGGAAAGGGGCCGCCCCGACGCGCCGTCAGCCGGACCGCGGCTCGGCGCTCCCGCCGCCCATCCCCGCAGCGCCCGCGGGCGGCGGGCGGGGCCGCGCCGGGGGGCGGGGACCGACACCGGCACCGGGACGGACGCGGCGCGGGGCATGCCGGGAGCGGGGGGGCTGGGGGGTGTCGGTGTCCCCGTTCCCAAACCTCTCGCCTCTCCTCACGGGCGGTTTTACGGGGGGTGCGGGGCCGCCGCCGTTGCCTGGGAGCGGCAGGCCCGGCCTTCTTCTCTCGTTGCCGGTCGCCGCGAGGGGTGGGGGGGGATGAGGGTCGCCGACTGGTGCCGGAGCTCGGTGGGGGCTGCCCTCGTCATGGCCACCTCCAGCGACGAGCAGCACCCCGCCGAGAACGTAGCGGACGGGTGAGGAGGGCGCGGAGGGGCCGTGAGGGGGTCGCGGGCTCGGCGGGAAGCGGCTCATCCGGGGCGGCCGCTCCCCTCAGAGACCCCCTGCCGCCGGGCTCTGTCCTTTGCCTTCCCGCATAATTTAACTTTTCTTTTTTTTTTTTTTTTTTTTTTTTTTTTGCTGGGACTCCCACCATTTCTTAACCCTTCTGTCGTACTGCTCGGGTACAAAGCCAGAGCCTTAAAGTACTAACACCTCCAGAGAGCTTCCCCAGTGCAATACAGGGGTTTGCTTAAAAGACGCCAAATAAAAGGTTGCAAAACCTTTTTTTTTGGGGGGTGGTGGTGGTGCTTTTTTATATTTTTGTGAAAAATTTATTCCAAGATGGTTATAGATGGAAAGCTGCAAGTGTGTGGCTTGTCATGTTCTCTCCACAGAAATTCAGAAACGTTTTGGACGACCACAGGCATGTTCCCACAGGAATTCATTATTGGTTTTCCTAAATGTGTAAAAATCAGCAAAGTCGCAATCCAGTGTTACTTGGGTAAGACTTCATGTATTGCAGGAGGTAATACATAGTATGTTAAAACGTCTCTCTGTATATAAATTCTCACAGTAGTGTCACATTCTATAAGTAGCCATTTTCAACAGATTCATAAAGATTAAACTTCACAAAGCAATCATCCTTCATGTCCAAACTTTTTCATAAATCAGGAAATGATGGAAAATCTACCCCACCTGCACTTACTTTGTTCTTACACCACCTTGTATTGAGCTTATAATTGACTGCTCTGTTGCATTAGAACTGGCTGTCTTAATTTAATTAACAGCACTACAATACTTGCTCTTTTAGTGATTTATTTTGAATATTGATTTAGTCTTAATTTTTTAAATAATGTGAAGGAAAATGTGAGTTCTACACCAGGAAGGACTGTTACAAGATCAGAGAATGGCGGTAGGAGCTTGACCATTAGCAAAGGCTATTCAAAAGACATGAAAACTTGTTTGTCCAACCTGGAACGTGAGGATGGTGGTTGTATTACCGTCCTGCCCCATAAATTAGAGGAAGAATGGATTAGTTAATGCTTTTAAAGTGCTTTGTAGATGAGCGATGGAATAATTATCGAGAAATAATCAAAATTTGTGTTGATATTTGAAATGTATATATATTTTAGTGCGGACCTTAAGGATTGAAAGAAGCGTATCTAAAGACCCAGTAGGTTTTGAAGAGTGCATTGAAAAAGGTAAGATTCTGAACCTGAAGCAGTGGGGATTTTTGTGGGAATAATGTTGGATCTTTTTCAGTGAGTCATTTTAACCCCATGTCTGTTTGTTGAGTAATCAGGTGTGGCTTGACAATTATTTTATTAGATGTTAATGTAATAGAAACATTGAAATGAACTTTATGAACACTGCTGGTCTCTGCAGCAGTTTGGAGATGTTAAATGCTGTATGAGGGCTGAAAGCACTAGTCATGCACTTGCTTTTGCGTTCCAAAATTTAAGAACAGACTTAAATAGTATAATAGAGTGCTATTTCCTGCATTGTTTGCATTTGGTTCATTTGCTTTTTGTTTGTTTTTTGGTTTTGTTTTGTTTTTTTTTTTTTAGTGCCTCTTGGGTAACATTTTATAAAACGGTGTAATGAATGGAATATATATATACACTGGGATATTGCAAAAAGTATTTGTTCTCTTAAATCACCTTGTAAAAAAGAAAAAAAAAAGAAAAATTTTTGTATGCAGTGTAAGTTCATGGTCCTTAAACTCTCTTGAATGCTGAAACACTGAAAGTGAAAACTTTTCACAGCATTGCACATTATTCTTCATTATTTGCTTTAAAATATATTTTCTAGATTTGCAACACACCGAAGGACAGCTTCAAGTAGAAGAATTTCCAGTGAGTATTTACAGTGTACATCAGCACTGGTTCATGAATTGGGATGTCTAGACTAACTGGGGAGAAACCATGAAAAAACAAAACGTCTTTATTTACAGTTATTGTTAAGTTGGTATTAGATTTAGGAATTTGTACACCATGGTATGAAATTGCACTTCCTGATGGCTCCTTTGTAGATTATGGTATGAAATTGCACCTGCCTACTGCTCCTAACTGTGTGAAAGAGCTCTTTCCAGAAGTGTGGCAATCCTAACTCCTTCAGTTGTTACCTTTAAGTCTGCAGTATTCAGGAGGGATGGGACTTTTCTGAATTGCTGTCATCTAAAGGAACTCTGAAGCTGGCTAGATGCATTGGAAGAGTTTGATTTATGTGCAGTTCAAAAACAGATACAGAAATATCTAGATCCTTCTGTCTAACAAACTTCTGCAAATGTTGTTTGATAGTTACGTTGCTGCAGAGAATGCAATAACACCTTTTTTTTTCTTTTTACAGCTTCCTGATTTCCAGGCCACTTACTTGCGTTTCATCATCAAATCCGCCTTTGATCATTTTGTATCAGTGCACCGGGTGATGGCAGAGGGCACAGCAGAAAACACTTAAGTCCAGCTTAAATTTGTACTTCAGTTTTTTTTTTATAGAGAAGTTAAATTTTGGTATATGTAGTGCAGAGAGTATTTATTACTAAAACCTTGTATTAATGTGTTTTTTGAAGGTATGGATGTAGTATGTATTCCCCACCCGTTCAATGTATGTAATGCAGTACTCCTGCTAATTGTAGTAACAGCTTTCTAGCTCTATAACCTAGGCTGTTACCCTAGAACACTTGAACATAACTGAGTCCATTTAAATTAGTATGTTTATATTGGTATTTCTTAATATATGAATTAAAACTCAATCTCCTGTAAAATGTTTCCCTTGCACTCTGAGTTAAATAGAAAAAAAAAGCGTGAAATACTTAAATGGGATGTATTATTTCCTACCGTCAAACAAATCCATCAGAAGTTCTTAAATTGGTAGCTTTCTCATCAACTCAAACTGTTTAAGATTAGGATGAATATAAATGTCTACTAATGTTCAGAAATAGAGGGGAGAGGGGGCAGGGCGGGGAGGGAAATAATCTGAAGCCATATGAAGTGCTCTGATAGATTTTTAATAAATGCAGATCAATCCCTTGTTTCTGTAAATATTTTCAACAATCGGGTCACAGCCGTCTGTGCTTTATGCTATGACTGTCATAAGAAATATTAATAGAAACAAATGTTGATAGAGATTGTCTTATTCAGAATCCTTGTGAAGTCAGCAAAAGTGAACATTTAGGAAAATTCTATGTATTCAAGAGAAAGAGAATCCTAATAATGGGAAATAGGTCGTTTTGCATGCCAGTCGACTTTTTCAAATGTCACCACCCCTGAAGTTCATCCTGCAGGATATTCCTTACAAATGTACACGCTGGTATCCCGTCATGACAGATAACAGACCCAACTACTATTCGTTACTGCATGTGGTATAAGCGTAGTAAGATACTGCAGTGCTGCAGTAGTTGGGGTTGTAGTGATGAGACTTGAAAACCTCTAGACAAACACATCATGAACCACATTAGAGATGCTCTTTAGATGCACACACAATATTCTTTTCCATGTGGTCTCTATTGTTAGTTTTAATATTTTTTTTCTTCTTATGTCTATGAAAACATATTAATTGAGCTTTTTCATCCACATAGTCTTTACTCTGAAGTCCTCTTTTCTTTTTCTACTTGAGTTTTTCCAGGATAGTGCGTATTTCCTGGGGGTGATAATTCCAAGGCCCCACTCCTCCCTGCAAAGGCAATAAAAGTACACAGTGATGCTCAAGCTGATTTCTGCTTTGCAGAAATCCTTTTGTGCCCAGCAGCTACACCAGAACTGTGGGCAGGTGTGCCTGGGCTTCGTCTGCATGGCAGCCATTGTGTGGGAGACGGTGTATGCACAGGTTACAGCCTGCTGTGTAACTGGGACAGGGCCAATGTCTGGATCCTGGAGCTGGAAAGTGTTCCTGGATCTCAGCTTAGATGTACCTAGGTTTCCCAATGAGCCAAAAGATAAGTATTTGAGCAAGACTGAGGTCTTGCACATCAAATACGTGCATTATAAAGGCCCAGAGTAGTTTTGCTACAAGTCCCTTTCTCTCCACAGTTACAGTGAATTGTGAAACTTTTCTCTCTCGAGCAGAATGGAATATTATTAAATGTAAAGCATGCTCAAATTGTTCTGAAACTCAAAAATCTCAATATATTGTGCTCGTTATTATTGTTGATATTTTTTTACCTTGTAGATGACCTTCCCTCCTTGAAGTAGATACAGTCGTTCTGGCAATGCAGCGTATTTTGAACTGCTCAGGTTTTCCATAGTGTCTAAAACCACTGGACATAAAGGATTATTTTTCTGAAGAAATTGTGCTGCAATTTTGCGATCTTCAAGGCTTCTGTGATTTTTAATGACAATATTGTTTTTAAAAGCCCATCCATCTAAAACAAATGAGAAAGGGATTTAGCAAAGAACATTTCGAATAGGTGTTAAGGGTGGAGATGTACCATGTGTCATATCCCAAAACTGTGCTAAAAGAATACTGCAGTTTATTCCCAATACCAAAACTTGCCATGAAGTGAAAGCCGCCCCCCCCCTCAGAGTATGAGAGTACTAGAGCTTTTCAAATAAATGGTCCTAAGATTATTTTTCTGCTTTAATTTCAGCAGACTGTATTTTTCCTTTGCCCTGGATTTGGAAATATTTGACGTATTTTAGCTGACGTTTTCCCACATTAAATCAATCCCAGAAAGATACCAGGTGGGGGATATACATCCTATTTGGGTAAGGTTTGTCAAAATTATTGGCACAGAGGGGATTTTAAAATGGTAAGTGGTGTAATCAGCTGGCACCCGTTCATTTAGCACAGTTGAAACAATAGCGCTGCTCATTTTGTTTGATTTTACTCATTAAGCCTATAAAACAGAATTTCAGATCTGTGAGAAGTGAAACGTTTGAGCAAGGGCACACCATCCTTCTTCAGAAATACATAAAAACACATTTTCACGTAACTCTTCCTAGTAAAGTAGAAAATAGTAAAAGTTTTTGATGAGTGACTTGGTTATCTGTTTCTCAACTACTGAAAGTGATGTATTGTTAGAAAATTTAAAAACATAAATGTTATATTTTAGGATACCACCTTAACCCTGGGATAAAATCAGTGCCAATGTGTTACTTAGAGACCAGTGTTGATAAAACATTATGTATAGTTTGTTTACTAAGTTTTTCAAATTAGAGTCTGCATCCTGTTCTGGAGACATGTTAAAAATTAATTATTTTTTTAAAAAATACAAGATGCTGGCATTGTACACTTTGTTCTAGAAATGCCTTTTTTTTTCTTCCAAAAGGAGCTGTACTAACACTGAGAGGAAGTTTTATAAAGATACAACTATGTGCTTCGCTTCACAGACATATCTTCACCAGAGTACCTCAGGGTAAAGTCAGATGTGTGAGTAAAATTTTGGAGAATTAGGGACACAAATCGGTGCCTAGATTTGGTGTTGCCACTTGCTATTTGAGGAAGGTTTCCTTTTTGTTTGCTGTTCCCTCCTTTGCTAACATACTTTTCTTCCTAAAGGGAATGATCACGTGTCTGAAGTTTTGGTTGGCATTACTGTGATGGTTGTACTGTTTACCTACTGCATGAGCTTCTTCGATGTAGATGATGAGGAAATCTGCTATAGGGCTGAAATCTTTGACGAGCTTGTTGAACTCATCAAATTTTAACATAAATGAAGGTCAGGTGCAGCTTCCAAAATTCAGGATTAAAGGTCGGTTATCTGGAAAAAAAAACCAGTTTTTGGTTAAAACAGCAGTGGGAGGAAGGACAGAATTAAATTAATGCACTGAAATGAGCCTCTGCTGCTGAGTTTCCTGGGCAACAGCAGTTAAGTCACTTAACCCATAACTTTCTTCTTAGGACATTAAAATCAGCAGCAGAACATCTGCACCTATGCAAAACAGGCATAAAGATGCTTTGTTTTCCCCAGCCCGGTACTGACCAGTGATGGATCCAGCAGTGAGCTTAACTGAGGGGACCCTTTCCTTTGTAAAGCCCAGGACAGGCAGGAGGCACCGTGCAGTCGCATGGCTTCTCCCATGTCCTCACCACGAGAACCAACTCTCAAGTTCCCAACACTTTGGGATAGGGAGCTGATCTAAAATGGATATACTGCACGTAGCACATCACAGCCTCCCTGAGATCCTTAGTATGAAGGAATTTCAAAAATACTAAACATCATCATCCGCAAGGTTTTTGAAGCACAGTGGCTCAGGGATGGACATGCAAGCAGAGTCCTAATGCCTTTGAATTAACTTACTGGACAGGTCTTGATTTTTTTCAGAGGTGTCAGTCCTAGCTAAGCTGAGTGGAAGCTGCAGATTTTTCAGTTGTGCATCACAGGCTTTCATGCTTTCAATGTGTTTCTGCAATTTCCCATCCAAACAGAACTCTGGTTATTATTTATTAAACTAATGCTACACAAGCCACTGGCAAAAAAGTCTATGAAGTTGCTTACAAATTAACACAGTATGTGCCCACAGGTACTAGCATCTGTTTGCAAGGCCTTGATTTAAGAGAACTTGCAGGATATTTAAGCACCTCTTTTAGTGTATGGTTATGCTCGTGTATCTGAAATTTGTTAAAGATCTTCCTTCTGGCTGGGCTTAATTTCAAAAACTCCTGCTAACATAGATTCACATCCTAAAGAATATAATAAGGGGAGTGCCTCCCTGTAGATACTATCTCTTTTCCAAATTTGCATACTATTGTCTTCATAAATACATATATATATATACACACATATGATTAGAAAAGCAGAGTTAGGGAAGGATGTAATCCCTCCCATGGGGATCGAGACTGTAGCTTAATGATTAATTCCATGTTATACACAGATCTCCGTGGGAGGCAGTGGACAAAGTACAAAGCAGCTCCTTTTTCTTCTTCTGCTTTATTTCTAGCCTCTTTGAATCTGGAAAAAAACAACGTGTGCTTTCCAGGCTTCAGGCTGGCTGAGGGAGCTGGTGTGGGACTTTCTGTACGTACAAGGAATGACAGCCAACACTTGTGAATCACTGTGCACCCTTCCGATTCTGGGTCTTCCCTCCCTAAAACAAATTATTACCTTGGTTTTCAGTGAAAAGGTATTTCCAGGCAGAGCCAGCTTTTTCAAGCCAGGATTATAAATGCAGGTTATTTTTGAAAATCAAGAGGCAGACAGCTGGAGAGAACATGCTGCATCTTTTCCACCAAATGAGTGCTGTTAGTCTGGTCATCTTTGTCGTGCACCCTCATGCCAGCTGCTTGTCCCTGTTCCCTCAGCAGCCTCTTCTCCTCATTTATCGTCTTAGCAAACCAAACCCATCGCCATGGCTGATTGACTGACCTTGCATGAAATCAAAGAGGTGACAAACTTCCCCGTTGAAAGTCACCACCGGCGTGTTGGGAGCGGGATCTCCCTCAAAGGCTTCGTCCTCCAGCCTCTTCCACTTCACCTTCAGCACGAAGAGCAAATACTTGAAGCTGAAAAAAGTCGGACCCCAATTTTCGTAGCTGAACTTTGGATTCTTATTCATTCTGCTCTTCTCGCCCTGTTTTAGGATGTATCTTTTCATGGTGTTGGGGAAGAGCATCATCAGTGTTTTGCCAACAACAACGCACGTAGTAACGTGCAGAAGAATCAGGATTTTTTGTAGGAATACCCTGAGGCTGAACATCGTGGTGGAGTAGGTCGGACTGCTCCCGACCGGAATGCAGCGCAACAGCCGGGGCAAAGGTAGAGGGCGAGGAAAAACATTCACGTGTTTGGTCAAATTTCTGCCTTGCCTTGCATGCCATCACCTTTCCGTGGCCTTCAGCCTCCACCTGAGCAAGGAGCCTGTCGGCCACACCATCTCCATCCACACCGAAGGCATCGATGACGATGACATTTTTAGTGCTCACGGCACAGTTTAAGGCTCGTTCACAAATACGCCATGTATTTTACTACCGAGAGGAGCCGAACTGAGATGTTTTCCCTGAACCACAGACGAGGATTACGTCCACAGGCCCTGCCAGCAGGTACGTGTTCGACCGCCTGGGACCATCAATGCTTCAAGGCCGCCACTTTTTTTTTGTCTGTGCAGTGCAAACAGTGCCCTGCCTCTGCGGCTCTGCTGCGCGCTGGCATTTGTCACTTTGGGGCTGAAAGGATGACCCCCCCCAATATAGATATATATATATATATATATATATATATATATAAATACAAATTGCCAAAATATGTAATAGATATAGTAGAATATATAAATATATAGCTCTATATATAACCTACGTGTGTATATACGGCTATAATATGCATATATAATACATCTATAATGCACATAGAATACGTATATGACAGAATACAGCCGCGGTTGCCCCGTTCGTGTAGCGCCTGCCCAGCAGGGCTCGGGGCGGCGGGGCGGGCTCTTTAAGGGGATGGGCGGAGGCGGAAGAGGAAGCGCGGCGCGGCCCCTGATTGGCCGGCGTGATGAGCGTCTCCGGTCTGTTTGCGTCGAGGCAGGGTGGGAGAGAGGGGCGGCGGGGCTGCTGATTGGCTGGAGCTGCGCAGCGCCTGCTGCCCCTTTAAGGGAGCAAAGCGGCCGCTGCCGGGAGCGGTTGGGCTGTGGAGCCCGGAGGTGCGGTGGCTTCCCCGGGCGTGGGGTGGGGGTGGCCACTCGTGGGGCGGGCACTGGCGTGGGGGCACTGGCCGGGGCAGCGTCAGGGGACGCGGGCGGCGGCGGGGGCCGGCACGGAGGGCCAGGGCCGTGGGGGTCAGCGCTGCCGCCTGCCTTTCAGGAGGGTCGGGGCCTCGGGGAGCGGTTCCTCAACCTAAGCGGATGAATGGCGACTGTGGATGACCTCAAATTTCAAGGTAAAAGCGGGTGTCGCGGGGGTAGATGTGGGGCCCCGCTGATGGAGCGGTCAGGAGCGTAGAGACTTGGAAGCATTTCTGAGTTTCCTCTGGTTGAAAGGTTCGTGGGAGTTTCGCAGGTGGTGTCAGAAATACCTCCAGTTTCCTGAGATGAAATTGTGGTGTTGGTGAGCTAAAAATGTAACCGGTGTTAACTGAAATACTTTGTGATGGGAAATGAAAGCTGAAAATGGGCAGAGCGCTCTGTAATTTGGAAAGGACTGTAGTTTCAGACCTCCTTAATTTTTGATAAATCAATTCAGGTCTGAAAAACTAATTTTTGGGGAAGATTAAAATTACCCGTTTCTGCAGTCTCTTCAGAGAGGCGGCTTCCCCCTGCCCTTGCAGAGTCCTGCTGGTCTTTGTATTGAGGATAAACTAACTCTACTAACTGTGGAGTTAGTTTATCATAATGCAGGCAGATTACCAGGAAAGACAGCCTCACACTTTATTAACTAACGAAATGTTCAGCTTGATCTGTGTCAGTTTGGGCTTTCAGAAACAGATCATCTATGACATGCCTAAGATAGTGATGTAGCCTGTCTTAGGCTGTGTAGGGGTCTTGATGTAGTTTTTTGAGCCACGAGTACAAAAAATTTTGGTAGCTTGATCATCGCCTATCTCGTAATGTACTTACTTGCAGAATTTGACGATGCAGCTAATTTGCTTGCAGCGAATCCTGACGCTACCACAATAAGCATCGATGAGCCAGCTGAGATCCCCAAGAATCAGCACGGCCGTCTGCAGGAGCCAGGGAGAGAAGAGGATGATGAATTACTGGGGACAGATGACTCAGATAAAACAGAGGTAATGCTCTCCCACCTACAGTGCCTCCATCAGTGCGTACACAAATGGTGTTGACAACACTGAGAGATTTCTAGAGGACGCCAGGGATTTATGTTGTGTGACTTAAAACTCTGCTTCTCTGTCTCAGACTGCTTTCTCCATAGCAGAATTGGCAGAAGCAAATGTGCATTGGGTCTTCAGCTGTTGTGGTTTGCAGCCTAGGAAATAGTACTGAAACAGTGGTGATTTAAGCTAAGCAAATATGCCAAGAGATGATCGCAGCAGCAGCTAAACACACAGCACTCTGCTTGTTTCTGTCGGTTCTGCTGTGGGGTTGGTGACTCTGGCAGGAGAGCAGGAAACTTTGAAAGAGGCAGGGCTTGTCCGAAGGGTTCGGGTAGTGCAGCCATCAGCAACGGTGGGGGAACTTGTGATGCCAATGAAGGCATGTGTTATAAATGTTGTGGCAGAAGGTGGCATCAGGCTGTTCTGTAGAACCCCAGGCCACTATTCTGCTGGCAGGGAGGTAAGAGACTAGCTGCTGGTAATGATGAATATTAGAGGGGGAAAGGGAAACCATTAAATAATTCATAGTAAGCAGCACCCTGTTAAGTTTGTCTTCTATCTGGGTATAGAAATCACTTAACTATTGTGTAAATGAACTAGTAACACATACATTGCATGCTTGTAATGCTTTCCATGTTGCCTTTCCCACCATACAGCTGCTTGCAGGACAGAAGAAAAGTGCCCCTTTCTGGACATTTGAGTACTACCAGACGTTCTTTGATGTGGACACGTACCAGGTTAATACTGCACTCCAGAGGAGAGCTATTGTTTGAAATATGCCTTAGCCAGGTTTTTCCTTCTTGCATTTTCAGTCAGACAAATCTGTATGTTTTCATAGGTCCTGGACAGAATCAAAGGTTCAGTTTTCCCAGTACCAGGGAAGAACTTTGTAAGGTTGTATATCCGCAGCAATCCTGACCTTTACGGTAGGTATGAGGTGCGAGAAGTTCTCTGTGCTCAATGTTTCAAGCTTTTATTTCATTTCACTTGCTAACCTTGAAAAACAAGAGGGAAGAGGAGTTGTTATTGAACTTGTTTGTTTTCTTTTAAGGTCCGTTTTGGATATGTGCCACACTTGTTTTTACCATTGCTGTTAGTGGCAATCTCTCGAATTTCTTCATCCATCTGGGCAAACCAACATACCACTATGTGCCCGAGTTCCGAAAAGGTTTGTAAGTAGTTGATACAGTCCTGAGATAGTGCGTTTGTTTTTTTTGTGTGTGTTTTTTCTTTTTTTTTTCAATGTGCTAATGAAGTAATATAAAAACAGGTCACAGCTTTGATTTGGCAGAGTCTTTTGATTGATTGCTCTCTTTAAATTTTTAGAGATGTGCAACGAGACCTTAAAGTGGGCTGTAACTGGCAGAACCCTATTTTTCCAGAGCATAAAGTAGTTACAGGGTTTTAGTAGAGCAAGCAGGAGTAATTAGAGCAGTTTATTTTTCTAGCCTTAGTGCATGCACTGTTGTACAGAGAGGGAAAGCCCAGCAGTGGCCACTGTGGTGCTTTTGTAGGTGCTTTTCTGGATCCACGGCCTCCTAGGAGCCTGCAGGCCTTGGACAGCAAATGGCTGAATTAGAGTATTACTCATATCACCTACCGAGGGCTGGAAGTTGTTACCTTCTCGAAAACTCGAAAATAAGCAAAAGAGGCTCAACTGATAGGTACTCCATGGAACTCAAAAATAAGGAGTCAGTTGTCTATACCTTTCTTTGTAGTATGGAGGAGGCTGCTGTCCCTGCAGAGCAGTGTGGCTTCTCTTTGTTCCCAAAATCCACAGTGTACTTGAAAGAATGCTGCTGCCAGGGAATCCAGTCACTTGAATAACTAAAGATTTGACAGTCGTGTCTGTCTTCTCTTTCAATTTTTTCAGCATGTCTGGATTCTATTCTCATTTTTCAGTAGCTGTTAGTAGCCAAATTTCTGGTTTTAACCAAGTAAGTTTTTTTTTTTTTTTTACTCTGTGGCTCTTCCTTTCACACTGAAATTGATAGTGTTTTGTACACGGGTGAAATAAAGAAACTGAAAATACCAAGAGAATACTTTCTGGTGTCTTTACTTTTAAACTAACTTGAAGTGCTGGCAAAGTAGTGGGTGTAAACTGGATGTAAATGCAAAGTTCTCAGTTTTATTAATAACTCAAACTTTATATTTTGAAAGTAATATCAAAGGTAGTTTTCTAGTTTTCAGGCTAAATGCTTTTACATGTTTGATTCTGGCTGGTACTCTAAGTAATTAAATCTTTTGTCCTATTTCTAGTGTCTATTGCAGCAACAACTATTTATGCGTACGCTTGGCTTGTTCCCCTTGCTCTCTGGGGATTCCTGATGTGGAGGAACAGTAAAGTCATGAACATTGTCTCCTACTCGTTCCTGGAGATAGTGTGTGTATATGGCTACTCCCTCTTCATTTACATCCCCACAGCGGTATGTATGGCCTAAAGAGCACACCTCTATTACGTGCTTGGCAAAAAGGTCCTGGTTTAGAAAACTTGCTGTTTCTTACAATGTTGTTCCTATTAGTCAGAATCTTGGGGACTAGACAAATCATTTGCTCCTTTTGCTTGGCTAGAATAAAGCTTTTTGCTGAAGCTGGTATACTGTAAAGATGCCTTGTGGGTCCTAGAAAAGCCCAGGACAGGTCATCTCAGAGGCAGCAAATCCAAGCAAGGGTGCTGCTGGGGAGCCTGGCAGGCAGCTCCAGGAGTCTGGCTGTGTGTGTCCCAGCGTACAGACACGGGTGTGTGGGATGGCAATGCTGATGGCTCTGAGGACAGGTTTCCCTGGCAGGGACCATCCTGGGCCATCCTGGCAAGGGAGAGGCCGTGGAGGGAGTGCTGTAACTCAGGGGATATCCTCTTGTGTCTGGGAGTAAAGCTCATCGCTGCTGTTATTCTTTCGTCAAATAAGAGAGACATATCAGATAAGGCATGCGTTAATTTGCACGAATTGGCTGGAAGTGATGAAATGTCAAAGAACAATGCATTAAATAAATGAATCCCTCTTTCACACTGTTTTTTTAACAATAATTTTCCTCCCTTTTACAGATTTTGTGGATCATTCCACAAAAAGTGGTGCGCTGGGTCCTGATGATGTTCTCCCTGTGCCTTTCGGGGTCTGTTTTGGTGATGACCTTTTGGCCCGCTGTCCGAGATGACAACCGGAGGATTGCGCTGGCAACCGTGGGGAGCATCGTCCTGCTTCATGCCCTGCTGTCTGTCGGCTGTTTGGTATGACACTGCCTTTCCTCTTTTCTAATCTGGTATTTCTTGGGATTGGTGACATGTTATCAGTGCAGGGAAGGAATGGTTGGCTGGTTGCTGAAAAATCTTTTTTAATAAAGAAATAATAATTCTGAAAAACCTCCAAAGTAAAAGTTCCAATTATTTCAAACATAGCAAAAAATGATGCTGATCTGACAGTGCTAGCAACAAACTCAATAATGAATGTGTCTTTAGCACAAAATCACTTGCAGAACAGTCTTAAATTTATCTGGAATTCATCATGGTATCAGCAAAGCATTTATTGTATCCAGTTGCAGCTTATTCCAGTGAGTACTATGCTTATATAATCCTTTAAAATGATCAACTGTTCAATATATAGTGTGTGCTTATGAGTTTTATGTATGAAAACACAAATCTGCTAGAAGTTAGTAAAATGTCAGCATTATGAAAGCAAGACCCTAATGATACTGAAATAGGTAGTGACAAGTATCTAAATTATTTGTTGTCTCTTAGTTGCATTCAGTAGAATAATACCTTCCAAGCTTCAGTTCTGTTCCCCCTAGCTTCCAGAGTAGGTAGATTCGGTTCCCCACAGCTCAGCGTGCAGGGAGGCAAAGGCAAAACACAACTCTGGCATTAGCAGGAGACATGCAGCTGACTTTAGGGGGGCTCCTGTCACTGGAGACTGCCTGCAGCTTCATCAGTTAAAACAGCAAACAGTCAAATATCTGCAACCCGATCCTTTCTAGTGCAGGTACTTTTCAAAGGCCTTAGCTGCTAACTGTTCTATGTAAAAGTACAGTTTGGAGCACCATTTTAGTTGACCATTTCTAATCTGATTAGTCTGATCTAATCTGAAAAACAGAAAAGATCCAGATTTGCCATTTCGATGCTGTTTGTACCTTGTGAACAGTGGGCGTGGAAAGAGAGAGCTGGGATGAGGCAGAACTGTTTCTTTCTCTCTAAACAGTCTTTTTCTCCTCTGTAATAACATAGGCATACTTTTTTGATGCTCCTGAACTGGATCTTCCTGCACCTATTATCCCTGCTCACAATGGAACAACAGTAATAACAAAGAGTCAGTAAATAAGGTAAGAATCCAATCTAAACTTTTTCCTGTAATCTTCACAGACATACTGAAACTTTTCTCTACTACTGTGGTTGAGAGGAAAAGGGCTTAACAGACCAGTTTTGCCAAATGGCACCAATATATAAATACCATTTATTAACTTTTTCTTCCAGTTGTAAATTTTAAGTATAGCCATAAAAACATAAAAGACTCTGAGGAACAAAGACATGTTATCTTTCTTTTCTTTGAGGCTTGGCAAAGAAACACGCATTTAAATAATCTACTCAGTCCCATAGGTCACTCCAAAGTTTTTTTTGTTTTTGTTTTTTTTTTTTTTTCCCCCTCCCAATCCCTTATAAAAGCCCAAAAGTGTTTTGTTAGAATTTGTACTGCACATGTACAACTTAAGCAATAAACTATTCCACTCATATTTTTCTTTTCTTTTAATGTTTAAATTGGACTTTTTCTCCCTGATGTTTGTGACAGTGTGTTTCAGAGCAGCAGCTCTGTGGATGGGGAGATCCGTGTAGTCTCCGAGCAGGGCTGACTCAGAGCCTGAGCTGTCCCTACGGACCACATGCCTTGTGTTGGGATTGTTTGAGGTTTTGCTTCCTGATAGCTGGGAGTGCTGCCAGCAGCAGATGACATTTGAATTCTGTTGGAGAGATGAGACGTGGAGCAGGTCCAGGAAAAGGCTAATAGACATGCAGAGGCCAGGCCTCTGCAAGTACACCAGCCACAAGTGTGTGTGTGTAAATCAGGGTATTATACTGGCTAGAAGCTAGATTAGATTTAGAAAAAAAACAACCAAACAAAAGAAAAACCCAACAACCAACCAGCAAACCAAAACAAATATGCCTAGCAGAAATGGTCATAAAAAATGACCAGCTATGACACAATCGAATAACGCAGATCAATTTTAGAGGCTTTCCTCCTGCAAGATCAGTTTTTCATCCCGGGTGCCTGTTGATTCAATATGATAGTAATGAATGTTAGAATTTATATCTAAATTTATGCCTTATTGTGTCCTCTGGTGCCTGAGAGGAGCTATGATATTCATAGGAGTTATTTATCTCTTTCAGATTACCATGCCTGTTTTTTCCATCTGTACAGTACTTTTATTTTAGATTATTTTTTCACTGAAGACCAGGGAAAGTGCAAGAATGGGGGCTGTTTTTTTTGTAGAAAGGACAGTGATGTCCCCTGGGCATACGGACATCTCCCGGCTCACTGGGGACTGACTGGTTCCAGGAGGAGAGCAAACTGTTGATCCTGATCTTTCACCGCTGTTTTTCTTTTTTTTTAAAACTCTACCTACACTCACTGCACTACTCTGCCTCTGAATAAAGCGTTCTGAAGGTGATGCGAGATGCTTATTTTGATTTTGTGCACGAAATATCTCCTACTCCTCCGCAGCCGCCGATGGGGTCGGGCACGAGGTGTGAAGGTGGAGCTGAGGCGAGACAGGGGGTCCCCGAGTCACTGTTGAACCGCCCGGGGCTCTTTCAGCAGCAACCGGCGCCCTAAAAGCGGTTGGCGACGTCCCTTCCTGCTTTCCCGCGTGCTGCAGCATTCCTTCTCCACTCAGCCATCTTTTCCCACCCCCGCGGGCTGCGTAATGTTTCCTTTTGTCCCTCAGGTCTGCCCGGGTGGGGGGAAACGGCGGGGCGTCCCTCAAACCGCCATTGCCGCTGTCCCCCTTGGGCGCCAGCGCGGCGCGGGGCATGCCGGGATTTGTAGTCCTCATTTAGACGGGGTGGGGGAGGGATGACTATGATGACGTCACTTCCCTCGGGGCGGGAAAAGCGGATCTGCGCGCGGCGGAAGTGGCGCGTTTGGGGGGGCGGCCGTTGAACGGCGGAGACTTTGAACGGCGGGAGCGGGCGCCCCCATGGAGGCGGGGGCGGGGCGGCAGCAGGCGCTGCTCCGCCAGGTGAGTGAGGGGCTGAGGGGGGTCATCCCCCTCATCCCCCTCATCCCCCTCATCCCCCTCATCCCCCTCATCCCCCTCATCCCCCTCATCCCCCTCATCCCCCTCATCCCCCTCATCCCCCTCATCCCCCTCATCCCCCTCATCCCCCTCATCCCCCTCATCCCCCTCATCCCCCTCATCCCCCTCATCCCCCTCATCCCCCTCATCCCCCTCATCCCCCTCACGCTGTGCTTCCCTCAGGTGCTGGGCTGGAGGGTGGCGGCCGCCGTGGCGTGGTCCGTGCTGCTGCTGCCCGTCTGCACCGGCGCCTTCGTCGTCCTCAGCGGCTTCGACCCCTTCCACCCGGTGCGCTGGATCTCGAGTAGGTGCTGTGGGCCCCCCCTTGCCCGGGCCTGGGGAGGTTGGGGAGGCAGGGGTCGCCTGGTGAGGGGCTCTCGAATGTGCGTGACCGTGGGTGAGCGGAGCACGGGAGCGCGTGGGTGCGTGCTGCCATTTGCCTTTCAGATCCGCTTGTGATCAGGGCAGGGATTGTTTAAGTGCTTTCTTACATCAGGTGACCCAATGTCAATATTTTAAATTCGTTTACAAAATAAACCAGTTTCATCCTCGATAGTTGGCGAGGTGCCCTCTGGTGATTTTGTGTTTTCACAGTCACATGTTTGTATTTGCCGGCTTTTTTTCCCCCCTATCTGTTGTTTCGGGCTCAGTCTCAGACAATGGAAACTGACTATGGCATTGTGTTAAATTTCTACTTTGTGTATTTCTCGATGGTCTTTAGGCTTTGAAATCCAAGTTTCTGTGTTCCTTGTAACCGTAATAACCATAATCCTCCCTAGGAAAAAATAACTGTTACAAGCTTGTGTAAATATATCCTTAAGAGAAAAAAATTAGATTAAATGAATTAGTTGTCTGTTCAGAGTACTTGAGCACACTTCCCTGTTCAGCCCTGCACAGCTGCCGTTTGCATAAAGAGCTTAAGCTTCCTTTAACTTTGGTGCCTTGAATGAGAAGTGAAATTCCTGAAATAGCCACTCTGCATGGTGAGAATAACTTTCCCTCGAGTGCACACACAGAAAACTGAGAGATGTTTAGATGGAAACTTGATACCTGTGGTCATTTAGCTGCTGCAGGCAGAGAGACTTGATTTCTTTTCCCCTTCAAAAATACAAAAACCCCAAAGACCCACTCAAAAGCAATTTACTCTCTAAGTAATTTCTTACCTTTTAAATATAGTGGTATGGTTGCAGCTTTTAAGTGAAGGGAAACTTAGTTGAGCTATGGTTTAATTCCCTTTGAAAGATGTGTGTTGGTTTTTTTTTTTTTTTCCTTAAAATTCTGAGTGTTCATTTATGAGAGAACCAGTTATAAGGGCATGAAATTTAAATATGCTTTTATGCAGAAATGTTGTGAGTCTGGGCAGATCTGGTATGAGATTATAGAGTCCATTGCACATTGCTCCCCTTTATGCACTTAGTGGATTATTGCTAACTGCTTAAGTGTTCTTTTCTGTTACTTAAAGTGTCACTGTTATGTTACTGCAATCTTCTGAGCAATAATTACTTTTCAAATTTTAGATTCTTTCAATGATTTATATACTTCCTACGTCATCTTTTGTATCCTCCTTATGTCTGTGGTGATACTAGTAATAAGCATCTTCAACGTTGAATTTTATGCAGGTGAGTCATATAAATTGTTGAACTGTGATACCCAAATTAAATAGGGTGACCACCTAAAGAGATTTGTATTTATGTTCAATGTACTTAGCATTGGTAGATTTCCTTTTAAATTAATATAGACAGTACGCAAAGCTCATTTTCAAATAAATCATCCCAGATTCCTGCTCACCCAATGGTTGAGACCCACTTAGCTGAGCCATGTCATTGATTTCTTTATCATTTAGTGACTGATTCCAACTGTGAAAATTTTCTTTGGTGACAATGGGGTTTTGTTTTTTTAATGAAGGGTTTTATTGGTAAGACGTGAAAAGTCACTTTTGACTTTTATTTACAGTTGTGCCATCAATACCATGCTCTCGATTAGCACTGATAGGAAAAATTATTCACCCTCAGCAAGTTATCCATTCAGTTGTTCATGCTGTAATGGGAATGTTGGTTGCTTGGTGCGCTGCAGTTATGACAAAAGGGAAGTTCCAGTTTCTTGCTGTGCCCTGTACGCCTTCAGAAAGGTAATTATTTGTGTGTGTTAAAGATAAAATAAGCAAAGAACTTCTGTTGTAAAATGTATTTATTGATGGCTTCTTTCAAACAAAAACATAAAATTAGAGTACTATCAAAACCAAGCACTTATATGTTGATGTCTTTTATTAAAGGATAGGAAATACCCTCCTTTGCAAATGTTACAAGGCACAGAGAAATAACTGGGCCAAAAAAACTAAATTGCCAGGATTCTTAATGGGAAGTTGAATGAGGACAAATTGGTTGTCACATGAAGTCTTTGGTCTACTGGTTAATGTGACGTACTTCATAAATACTGGAACCATCCTCATGCATAAATTACAAACTAGGTGGCGGGATTTCTACTTTAGAAAAAACTTACTGAGATATTATCATATGAGCTCATCAGGAAAGTAAAATCAAACTTCTGATTTGAACTTCCTAAGTCTAGAATGACTACTTTTTTTTAAACTCAGAATTAATTTTAAGTGTTCTATTTTAGCCTAGATGATGCTGTTCCTCAGATGTGCCTAAACGAGTATCACCTCTTTTTTCTACTTTCTGGAGCTTTCATGGGATACAGTTATAGTCTTTTATATCTTATTAACAATATGAATTATTTGCCGTTTCCAATCATACAGGTAAGAGGTTTAAACATCTTTGCAGAAAGACGTGTCTAAGTAAAACAGTGATCAAAAAAGCCTGGATTGTTTATGTTTTTGAATATCACAGTGGCAGCTGTCTGTTGGCATGCCTTCACTAATTGATGAAGTGTACACTGTTAGCTTTAAATGCTGGTACTGTTCATCTTCCTCCTTCCTGCACAATTCCTTTCAAATGTACTCAGAAATCTGGGATGCTGTGACTATAAAATTTATACCCCTCTGATGGATGTTAAAAGCTGACTGGGGTGTAATATTGCAGAAAGTGAACTGCAGGAAAGAGACAGTATACACAAACTGGATATTAACTCCTGGAACTGACAACAAGGATCACCTAAAAGCTGAAAATATTTAGAGTTTTTTTTAAAAAAAAACACCAAAAAAACAAAGGCATATTATCAATTGTAACTGGGTACCAGCTCACTTAGAAGTCTAAATAGCACATTACATCTTGCTTAAAGCTCAACATCCAGAGCTTTTTTCTTGTATGTAGTGCTATGGAAACTGAAATCTCATTAATTCCTTTGGAGGGGGCTCTCACAGTTCTATGGAAATCTTTACCAGTGTGAAATGGTGAGGAGTGGCTTGTGAAACATCATCTTGAAAATATTTCTTCTGTTGCTGTATCCTCACAGCAGCCATTAACTGCATGATTCCCAGATTTACAAAGTCCAACCAGTTTGGCAAAAGGTGTCTTTAAGCAAGGTTGGTTATATTAGTGGAAAACATTTAAGTCATGACCATTCAGTTTATCGCCAAACCGAGCATAATTTTGGCGATGCTGTAGTTATAGTATTTTTTAAAATTCTATTATTTGAATATTGTTAATTCTCTGTTTTTTTTTTTTGTTTTGTTTTTTTTTTTTTTGTTTGTTTGTTTTTTTGTTTTGTTTTGTTTTTTAATGTAACTTAGTCAAGTAAATAAATCACTTTGGTTTCATTTGCATATAGTGTCAGGCAGGTTGCTTCAGTTGTTTGGAAAGACATATAATTTGTTTGTATGGAGAAAAGCATCATTGTTATACTGGTTTTGCTGCTTGGAGATTTACTGACTGCGACTCATGCTTGTCTGAATTTTCCCTATATTTTAATGGAACACACACTTCTAATCTAAATGACACCTAGTAGATTGAGTATGCAGTATTTGTTTGGTGGGGTTTTTTTTTTTGTTTATTTTGCATTAGACAGCATGAGAGCATTGGCAGAGAGCCAATTCACCCCATCTTCCATTTTCATACTGTTACAAGTAGGAAAAGGAATGAGAACTAGAGATTAATATAAAATGGCAGAGATTGGGAGAGTAAATAGTTTAAACTAGTTTTTGAATTCAGCTAGACTTCAGGTTTTCAAAATCCTTGGTTTTTTTTTTTTTTTTTGTACTTTTTCATTGATTTGTTCCAAATGCAGAATACTAAACTATTTTGTTACTTGTTTTTAGCAATACAAGTACTTACGTTTCAGAAGATCTTTGCCTCTCCTCATTAAACACAGTTGTGTGGAATCGCTATATTTTGTTAGAAACTTCTGTGTCACATACTACTTTTTTGGTAAGGGTTCTTGAAATTCTCATTTGCCTTTATTCTTAAGTGCCCTTC